AGTGGGCACAGATGTTAGCTCAGGGACAATCTTCCTCACAAAAAAAAAAAGAAAAACCCAAAAAACAAATAAGCCCTAAGGGGAGAAATTGTGGAAAATAAAAAGCAACATGGGAGGTCCAAAACCCTCTCTAATTTTGCTTGACACATTGAATTGGTTCAGTTTATAGGCCACGATCCTGAGGATTAGTTTCTTTCCCCCATCTTGAATCATACCATTCAATAGTATCAAAGATTTTCCCAACTTACTGCTAATGTTCACTCTCCAATCTTCAGGCCCACACTGAGGCACAGATTTTGATAAGAGATCTAAAACAAGTTTGAAGTCAACACAGCATATCACCATTATCATCCTACAGACGTGTGATAGGGAAAACCACATAATGTTTCTTGGGAAACCAAATCGGTGATGATTTCACCATCACTGTGGTGATGTGATGGGTTACTACCTGAGATAGTGAGTGAAGAAACACAAATGAAGTTGGGAACAGACCTTGGAGTCTGGAGTCCCTGACTAAGAAACTACTTCTAAAATAAATTGCTTCCCTTACAACAGAGGAAACGGGCACGCACACATTTGACTTTAATGTCTGCAGTGTTGGATTTTTCTGTTGTGACTTTAACATAAAAAGTTAGACAAACTCCTTTGTTCTCTAGAAAAAATCTGGCTCTTCTCTAGTATTTGTTTCTGGATTCTGCTGTAATAGGAGAGCTGCAATGAAGCAGCGCAAACTCCAAAATCTTCATGACAATACTTTTAGAATTTGTTCAGGATAATCCACACCCCTTGAGATGGTAATTAGTGGTATTCAGCTTACCAGTGACACATGAAAAAATGATTGTGTCGTTTGTCTCCAGACTTCGGTAGACAGTTGTAAAAGCTCAAAGTTTGTTTGCCTCATTCTTTCAGTTAATTAAAAAGAAGGTTTTTTATAGCCTCAAGTGTAGTGTAATTTATGATAGGCCTTTCTCTCTCCTGTTTTTAATTACCATCTTTGCATGGTGATGTTGGACTTTTTACCTTTTATATGCTACTTATGCATAGTTTCCTGAGATCAGCTGTATGGTTGTTAATCAGAAAATAAGGAAATTTTATGTGTTTTAGTCATCTTCAGCTAGGCAGATGAGTGGAACTGCCTGATTGGGGCTTATTTCCCATTCTTTTTTTCCCCAGTGAAAAGGAAAATTTTCCCTACCAAATAACATTTTCCTTTTCAAAACATATCATGTATGGAAAGTTAGGAAGCCTGAAATGAGAGCCCAAATATAACTTAAAATTCTTCTGTCACTCTGGCTATTATATGTAGAAGGTAGAAACTTTCAGGGTTTTACTGTGCTCTGAACAGAGCTCTTGACATTTCCAATTCACTGAATAATTAAATGAATGAATTTCTTTGTTTACTGATCAATATGAAAAGAACGAATAGCGACATAATTCCAGGGGGTAGAGAAAAGAAAAACAAGAGGTAAAACATTAAGCAAAACAAGTTACTTAGACATTTTGGAAACACAGACTTTCAAATAATCAAAACACTGGGGTAAATTCCTTGCTGCCAGTTTTGCACGAAGAGCGTTAACAGGTGTATGCAGTCAGAAGTCAGTACTGCCACAGCTTGGCCATTGGCTTCCCTATTCAGTTCATGGTGGAGCTGGGAAAAGCATTCAGAAAAGAGAATAACAACAGTCAGTCCAGGATATAAGGATGCAACTTTTTAATAGATATGTGCTTTCCTCTTTATTCCTTCCTTCCCTTAATAATGAAGGAGAAACACAAAATGGCAGAGGAATTTACTCTTAATCCTCATAACAATATCCCAAAAGCACTCTTCTACAAAAGAAGGCTCATAACTCTTCAAGTGATAAATGCATCTGATTAGTTTTTCATTTAAAAAATTAGGATAGCGCTGCCCACCTTGCAAGTTACTCTGGCAAGCAAGTAGAAAGATTACATTTTTAATTTAATCATCACAACCTACAGATACTATTTTTCCATCTTAGAGATAAAAAATTACTCAGTAAGTGAGGGAGTTAAAAGTCAAATCAACTTTTGTTTACCTGCAAGGACTTTTCTTTCTCTTGCTCCATGACTGAGATGACAGGTGTGAGCACAGCTGGAACAGTTCATTTTCTTTTTCCTTGGGAAGGAAAAATCAAGTCAAGACTTCACCTTACCTAAGCTTTGCCAATAAGCTCACAAATGTGAATCCTCTGATAGGGAGTGGAGCTGTTTGGAACTCTCGAGTGGAGCTGGGTGGTTTAGAGTCTCTCATGCAGATTTGCTTCATGCCCACAGCTACCTGTAGATGGGAAGGGTCATTAGTCTCTTTTTTCCTTCCAGCGAATCTTCAGGCCACTCATGTGCTTTGAGGCAACCATCACTGCAAAGGCATTCTTGCCTTCAAATGAGAAGAGGGTTAGCTTCATTCTCTACAGGTTTATGAACAAAGTTTTTATCTTCATGTGTCTGTCATCATGGTACCAACACTCCATTATTATCCTAACTGTGTGGTTCTAAAATCAGAGAAAACCAATCTGAAATCTGTCCTGTGGCTAGATCTCAGGGAGCTGTGCTAAGAATTTCAGTCTATAGTTACTTTCTTAATAAACTCATGGGCTTGATGGGAAGAAATTATGGTGGTAGAGTTTTTATCTTACCTTAGATTCCAACATTTTTGAACACGAATTTTAAGACCAGTTTTTCTGCAAAAAAGGATGTTCGAATTTTCAGATCAATTTGTTCTGCAAAAAATGCCAGCTGGGATTTTGACAGGATTTCATTGAATCTGTAGATCAACTTGGGAACATTGTCGCCTTAAAAATATTAAGTTTCTCAATCCATGAACATTGAATGCCTTTCCATTTATTTCAATAATCTTTGATTTCTTTCAGCAATGTTTTGCTGTTTTCAGTGTACAAGTCTTTCACTTCTTTTGTTAATTTTATACCTAAGTATTTATTCTTTTAGATGGTATTGTAAATAGAATTGCTTTCTTAATTTACTTTTTGGATTAGTTGTTGCTACTGCATAGAAATACAATGATTTTTTATATATTGAGCTTGTATCCTGCAACCTTGTTGAATTTATAAATTGTCCTAATGGGTTTTTTTGTGGATTCTTGAGGATTTTCTATATACAAGATCATGTCATCTATTAATAGTGATAATCTTAGTCCTTTCTTTCCAATATGGATGCCTTTTATTTCTTTTTCTTGTATAATTTCTCCAGCTAGAACCTTCAGTACAATGTTGAATATAAGTGGCAAGGGGGACATCCTTGTCTTCTTTCTGATCTTAGGGGAAAGTATCCAGTCTTTCACCATTAAGTATGATATTTGCTGTGGATTTTTCATAGAGGCCCTTTATCAGATTGAGGAAATTCCTTTCTATTACCACTGTGTTGAGTGTTTTTATCATGAAATGATAAAAAGTGGATTTTGTCAAGTGCTTTTTCTGAGTCTATTTAAGAAGATCACACACCTTTTTGTCATTCTTAGTCTATTTCCCTGGTGTATTGAATTGATCAATTTTCATATGTTAAACCAACCTTGCATTCCTAGAATAAATCCCATGTGATCATAGTGTACAATTTTTTTTATATGTTGCCGGATTTGGTTTGCTAGTATTTTGTTAAGGATTTTTGTGTCTATATTCATAAGGGATATTGGTCTGTAGTTTACTTTTCTCCTGATGTCCTAGTATCAGAGTAATATTAGCCTCAAATATTTCCCTCAAAGAGGTCAAGAAGTGTTCCCTTTTTCAGTTTTTGGAATAGTTTGTATAGGATTGGTGTTATTTCTGCTTTAAACATTTTATAGACTTTACCATTAAAACCATTTAGGCCTGGTTTTTCTTTTTTGGAATATTTTTGATTATTAATTCAATCTCATTACTTGTGATAAGTCTATTCATATTTACTATTTCTTCTTGAGTAAGATCTGGTAGCTTGTGTTTTTCTAGGAATTTGTCTATTTATTTAGGCCATCTAATTTATTGGCATACAACTATTCATTGTATTTCCTTTTGATCATTTTTATTTCTGAAAGGTCAGTAGTGATGTTCAGTTTGCATTCCTCATTTTTGTAATTTGAGTCTTTTCTCTCTCTCTTTTTTTTTTTTGTCAGTTTATCCTAAACTGATTTTACAACCCATAAGTGGGTTTTGACCTGCAGTCTGAAAAATGTGACCTTGGGCACATTAGGGAACCTCTCTGGCCCTCTATTTCCTGTCCATAACATGAGGGCCCCATAAGAGCCTTTCAAGTTCTAACATTTTAAGATTCTATGAGATTTTATTCTAGAGGATTATGGGTTTGTTTTTCCATTTTTCCCAAGATGGAGTCCTATTTTGGTAACTGGTTCATCTAGAGCAGTGATTTCCGTAACATAATTTCCTGCGAGCAACATCAGCATCACTTGGGAACTTGTTAGAAATGTTAATTCTTAGACCTACTGAATCAGAAACTCTGGGGTGGAGCCCAACAATCTGTATTTTTAACAAGACCTCCAGGTGATTCTGATATAAGCTAAAGTCTGAGAACCATTGTTCTAGAACAAACTATCTTCTCTGAAACAAACAAGTTTCCTACATCTCTAGTCTTATGATTTGAATGTTCCTGTTTCCACAGCTCTCCTTCCCATCCCACTCCCCATTTTTTCATGGGAGAAATCATTCCTGTAATATCTCTGGGTACCGGGACTGTGTAGCAAGGCACTTCAGATAAAGCAAAAGTAGCTCCAGTCTTTCCCAACCTAATGTGTACAGAGGGCCTGCAGCGATACCCCAAGGGTCTAGGGAAGGGAACAAGTCTGGTTTAGAGAAGAGTTTCTGTGTCCTCTAGTGGAAAAGACCGCAGTTTCTCTTCTCTGTCAGCACTTGCTCACATCTTCTGTCCCGATGGATGCATTGGAGTGCTGGACTGCTTGGTGGTTGTTTTTTGTAGCTACACAGTATAAGAATTTTCACTCTTTCGTTTTCAAAATATTTTTTTTTTCGCTATTTCAGGTCTTTCCAGGATAGATATAACCCTTCCCTGGGTCAGAAAAATCCTCTTAAGATGTCCACAGGTAAGCAGGGGTCCTTAAGACTAGCGCACACTAGTGTTGGAGCTCCGTAGGCTGAGGTTTCTCTAAGACATCTTTATATTTCTCTCTGTGTTTATCCCATTTCACTTCCTTGCTTGACATATTATATAGACTGTAAGTGAAATTTTTATATTGAACAGTCCTAAAGAGCTAAAGGAAAAGGATGATATTTAGCTCACAATTCTTTTTTTTTTAAAGAGGAAGGCTACTGTATTCTGTGAATTTAGCCACTTTGATTTGTTAAAAACTATTTTTCTAACTGCTTGCACAGCCCTAAGATATTATTGTATAGTTGAAAAGTCGAGAGACCTAGATTCTAATCTGAAAATTGGAAAATAGTAAATTAACTAATCATTAGCTTACACTCTTGAACAAATCGGAAATCATCTCTGATTCTCAATTTCTTTATTTATGAAACAAAGATAATGTCTTCTCAATCCTAGTCACAGCATTGCTGTTGGAATTTAAATAAGTATCGAATTCAGTACGTACGGTGCCTCCTGTATGCTGGCAATAAGGATAAAACAAAATACAGGGGAAGGGGAACTCTTGTCCTGTTGGGTCAGATATTCCTATTGACAGTGGCTAGACAATGGAAAAATAACAAGTAAACAAAAAAAAAAGGAGTCCCACGGGGAGGGGAGAGTAAGCCAACATCCCTGAATCAAGGGTGTGCCTGGAGCGTTCAGGGAGCAGAGGGGACCAGAGGACCAAGAGTAGAGTTAAACGGGGGAGTGGCAGAAAGTGAGGTCATAGTGGTGACATAGGTGGGGTGAGAGGACATGTGGGGCCTTAAGGTGATTGTCAGGTCTTTAGCTCTTACTCTGAGTGAGCTGGGAGCCATTACAGAGTTTTGAGCAGAGGAGTGACATGATCCGATTAATTTTTAAAATAATCTCTCTGACTTCTTTGATAAGGAACACATCACTGGGGGTACAAGGGTGGAAGGAAGCGACCAGTGAGAAGGATGATAGTGGTTTTCTGCAGAGAAGTAGCCAAGAAGGTGATGAGAAGGGCTCAGGTTCTGGCTGCAACTTTGAAGGTGGATTCAGAAGGCGTTGCTGATGGATTGGATGTGTAATTTGAGAGAAAGACAGGAGTCAAGGATGACACCAAAAGGTCTAGAGTGAGCCACTGGAAGGATATAGTGTCCTCTCCATTTATACCTTCCCTCTTAATCCCCACAACTTAGAGCAGAGATCTGTACCTGTCTTCTTTAAAATGACATCTGTCACTTGCTTCAGGCCACCCTCGGTCATCCAAAGTTTGTATCTGAGTGCTAGCCCCGCACGCTTCACTGTGGAAAGTGCTTCAGCAGGCAACTAAGTAAGTTTGGGAAATGCTACGTTTTATATCTCCTTCAGAAGCTTATCATAAAGGCTCTGAGAAGATCTGCAAAAAAAAGACACCTATTTTACTTTAATTTACTATAGCCTTCCTTTATTTGACTTGGAAATCTCTTTGACTAATTTACCTTCTACTTATGTTCCCAATGACTTACTAAGATACATGTTGAGAAATACTTCATTAGACACCCTTCACCTCCAGGACATCCTCCAAGCCTCTTATTAATTGCTGCCAATGAATTTTCCCAAAACACCCTTTTGCCATCTCATTCCCTTCTCAAAAGTCACATGGGACCCTCTTTGTAGGATTAACTCTGGGCTCCTCGACCCCACATTTGTCTTTGTCCGCAGCCCAGCCCCAACCTTCCACATGCAGTCCTGGTACTCAAGCACTCTCAGTGGCCTCCAACTGCACTGGACACATTCTAGTCCTTTCTCTGATTAATCTTGGTGGGCCATCGCACACCTTCTCCACTTAAATAACTTCTATTCATCATCGATTGCCCAGCAGCTGCCCATGACCCCACAGGCTGTAGCAAAGTCTTTTCCTATCAAATCCTGCAGCCCACACTGAGCATGTTATTCATGTGGTCCTTAACAGATATTGCCGTGTGTTAATATCAACACTTTGAATTGTGTGCTTTTATCCCAAAATATATTTCCTTAAAAGCAGGATTGTCTCTTGGTCTTCTTTGTATCCCTTATGACACCTAACCTAGGAACTTCTCTACTATGTTTATAGACATGTTTATAAATATTTGCCAAACACAAGTGAGCCTGAATACTTTGTAAGAGTAGAGTAACAGGATTTACTATTTTCCAGTTTTATCACACTTTGTATTTGCCTCATCCTGACTCATACCCTTCCATTTTGCATGCCGGTGGGCTTGCATGGATTTCAGTGCTGCATTTCTTCACACAGCATACTGGAAAAGCACTGACTAGAGCGGGCTCAGTGTGAGGAACACTGGAACCTCAGCATCTTTAGGTGGTGGGAAATAAGAAAAATTGGAACCAGGAAAGAACAGATAGCTGGGGAAATTGAGGGAATTGTAGGCCTGGTCTTCATGGGAAGAGCAGCCAGTAGTTGTGTGTATGGTCTGTGAGCCTTGGCAAATGCAGGCTGGCTTCCACCAGTCACTGTGTATTTGAGTGAGGACTATTGCTGGTGGGGCTGCAGCAATGAGGGATTCTTGAGGTCAGGCAAGCTGCCCTGTCATGGCCTGGGGGCTCATCCATCAGAGCAGTGCATCTGCCAGGACCACGGGATGTAGGAAACAGGATTCAGTTTCTTCCTAGGGAGGGACTTGCAGGTGTTAGACAAGATGTCTCAGATAAGCAGGCCAGCCAACTCTGCTAATGAGGACTTGGATGCTGGACAGAACCCCTGGATGCACAAACTGGGCCAGCAGCAGCAGTTAGAGTCAGAGACTGGCTAGGTGTGCCCAGAGCTCATCGCAGGGAACAAGTCATTTCCTAGTGTTTGGAGGCAACCAGGGAAGTGTGCCACTTACCTCTTTCAGACTCAGTTTCCTCTTCTGTAAACTAGGGAATTTAATACTTACCTTGGAGTATTATTGGGGCAATTAAATGAGATAATATACATAATGTGCCTTGTTTAGTACTAGGCACACAGTAGGTCCTCAAGAAATGTTTCTCTCCATTCCATCTATCTGCCAGTGGGGCACTGAAGATCCTGTTGTAGTCAGTGTTAGCTCAGAAAATGGGCAGACTGAGCCTGTAGGTAAATCTGTCACAACAAGGGCTGTCCAGGCCTGGGAAAGTTGGCACAGAGAGTAAGAGAGCTGGTTGATAGCAGGCCCTGGGCTCAGCAGGATCACTGTATCCTTTGGAATCAAGCAAATGAAAATAAGCTAAAAGAGCAGCCAGAAGAGAGTGTTAATAAGTGATACAAATAACAAGCATTTTAGTGCTTACCAAGCGGCAGCTCCTGCTCTGAGCACTTTACTTTTCCCAACAAACCTACGGGGTGAGTACTGTCATAACCCCATGTCTTCATGTGAGACTGAGATGTTGGAAGTCTAGGTTTTGCAAGTAATAAGGAGCAGGGCTTATACTCAGACCAGAAGGGAGAATTCCTGATGGTTTGGGATTTTGGACTCCAGAATGGATGACTAGAAGGGATGTTTAAAGCTTTCAGAGCAGAAAAGACTATTAGCTCTGGGAGAGTTGGACTCAACCCCGCCTGAAGATAGAAGAATGGATCCCATCAGTGGTTCCCACAAGCCAGTCTTCAGCCTCCGTGAGTCTCTGCAGCAGAATCACCCAGAAATCATTTTAGAAATAACATTCTCAAGGCTTATCCTTGGAGGTTGTTACTCAGAAGGTCTCGGTGGTCCCAGGAGTCGGTGCTTTAAAAAGCTGCAAGGTGTTTCTGAGAAGCAGCTGCCCTTGAGCCCCTTGTCCAGGTGGCTTTACGAGTTAGTCCCAGGTCCCTGGCTTAACCACACCACCTTCATTCTCATTTCGCAATTTAGAAAAGTAGGCTGTGTAGTTGAGATTAGCTCAGATTGGAGGAATGATTGCTTTTGGCCCTGGTTACCTTCCAGAGTCAGAGCCTGCAAACTGCATTCTAGTGCTTTCTAGAATTTCTAGTGCAGGCAGTGCTGAGGATCACACAGGCAGCAAGGCCACTGGCTGACCACTGGATGGCACCCCTGTCCTTCCTGTTCCTGCAGGCTTTCTGCTTTGCTTTCACAGCTCTTGTTAGAGTGCTCCTGCGGCCTCTTGCCAGGGTCTGTCCTTCACAACAGTGAAATACTGTCACTGGTGCCCACCAAGCCTTTGACCAGCAGGGGTGACATTTCAGTCAGGGAGGCCCATAGTATATGGACAGAACAGGCACTTTTTAAAGTGAAGGAAGCTTTTCCCTTTTGCAAAAGCAGCCTCCCCTGTTTCATTCTGGGCTACACTCACAGGTCATGCTGTTAGACAGAGAACGAGAATGTTAAAGAAAAGTCCAGGAGGAGTCATCAGAAAAGCATTTTCAGCACTGAAAATCTCTGAGCCTATAATGCAGGTTAATGGGAAAATAAAACCTGTTTATATCCAATTTTAGGAGCAGTTGTGTTCAGTGAACAGGTTATTTGTTTGTTTGTTTGTTTTTTATTTACTGCCCCCTTGTGGAATCACATTAGAAATTTAATTGTCCAAGAGAGAGGAGCAGAGTCCAGTAATATTTCTAAGATGCACAGAGTTGTGGGAAGTTAAAGTTTCAAAGAAAGGTGCTTTGAGAGGGGGTCATTTGCTTCGCTCAGACAAACACTAAGCAGATTCTGTCGTTTGGCTTAAATTTGTACACCGTTCGCATGATCAGAGGTCATACAGAAGCTTGACGTTAGAAAAAGAGAACATTGAAACGTCTCAGAAGCATGCCTTCCTGCTTTCTAGTTTTTTAAAATTTGTATTTAAATATGTGCGTAATGTAGAGATTTAAAAATTATTTTGTGTTTCTGACCTTTGTTTTTTCTCCTCCATCTTCTCATATTTTATTAAATTTTTGGCTTTGCTGGAAGATACTGTGATCATGCTGGTCTTTCTTTGCGTTTGTCTTGCTGACAGGCTGTCGTTCTTACTAGGGTCTTGTTAGTGTACTCAGAGGAAGGCCAAACCTGATTCCTGGAATTGAACCTCAAGCTAGCCATGGAGACACATGGCTAAATCCCGGATTTAGAGGAAATCTCAGCTCTGGGGGATGTATGGTATTTGGTGGAACAGAGAGAGCTGGACAGCTCCCAAACCTGCTATCCATGTAGCATTTTACAGTCTGCAGTTTCTTTGGTTGGTGTTTTCTGTTCCAGAATAGCAACAGAGAGAACACCTAGCAACCAAGGGGAAATATTTCATACCTCATCTTTTCTCTGCCTTAAAAAAAAAAGTTAAATTCTTTTACTTCTCCTTTCCCATCTCTCTCTTTCAATACCTGGGCAGTTTACTTACCACATTAGACTGCATACACGTGCATGCTATGAAAACTGATCTTATTTACTGTCCCGTCAGAAAATTTAATCTACAGCCCCTTTGCAATAGCCAGCACAATCAAATCACAATCCAGCTCATCCTCTGGAGATCATGGAGGGCAAAGAGTCATCTGACGTTTGTGTGTCTGTTTCCCTGCTGTGTATTGTAAGCTCCTTGAAGCTGGAAACGGTTTCATTTCATGTTTGTGAGAGGACTAGCTCACTTTGTATAAAGTTTAGAGATGGTCGCTTGGATTGTGTCTCTGTGGAATCCTGTAGGTTTGCGACTTGATTTGTGGCTGGCGGATAACTTTAGAAAAGCCTGAATATTTTTTTTGTCATAATGTGTATCATCCAAATGCCATGTATTTGAAGTCCCGGAAACTAGGATATCAATTAAATAGAATGCTTTTTGAGGTTTTCACGCTATGTAAGCTGTGACAGAGGAGGTCTTGTGTAAGAAAATAATTAAGAATTATTGAGCACTCACTATGAGCCGGACACTGTTTCCGTTTAATTCTCGCCACAGTTCTGTGAGGTCAGAATGTTGAGTTTTCACCTTTGTGGTGGTTCACAGAAGGCATCTAATATAAAAAAGCAAATCTATCTTGCATATAGAAGGACACTTTGCCTCTCAGTCAGATGCCCAGGGGGTACCATTTAGCTTAGAGAATTCACTGGGGTCCAGGCTTTGCTCCTCTAATCTGCAGGCCTTAAGGCTTTGAACAAGGAATCCACTGCAAGGAGATCTGGGCTGACTCACATTAACTCGATTTGGGTACACTCAGATGCACACGCATACACAACGTCAAGTGCAATGGTTGTTTCAGCCTGACCCACCTCTCCGTCTTCCTTAAAACAAGCCATGAGGGAAGCAGCGGTGGGGTGAGTCTGGAATCGGATCCAGGGTGAGTTTGATGATGTCAGAATTTTGAGGGGGCTTCAGGTCCTCTCTCTAGCATGAAGTGGGTCTGGCCAGACTTTTCCCATCTCAGACAATCCTTGGGTGAGCACTCCCAGTGTTTGTCCATGTTACTTTCCTTTTAATTTCTATTATACTTGCAAACGTCTTGCTGTTCACATGCTCTTTCTTCAAACATGGTTTAATGGAATTGCTTAGATTTGTGCTTAACTAAATTACAATCTCATTTCAGCCTCACTTCACCTCCACTAGCCTTAGTTGGAGTTTTGGACATTCATGATCCACTGCCACATGTTTAGGAAAGTTTATGGTCTGTTCCCATAAATGGCTGATCATTACTGTGGTATAGGGACTTTGCGACCTTTTACCTTTCGGTGGGCAACTGTATTTTAACGTTTTTCGAGACAACTCTTGGTATTCCCTGTGATAAACATTGGTATTGCCATGCTGTATTTCCTCTTACGTTCTTATCGAAAGGCAATGGCCCCTTTAAAAAGAATTGTCTGTATTCAGAGCAGGTTAATCTTGCTATGTTCTGGAAACCTGGCAGAATCATTAATAAGGGAACCAGTTGTGTGTGGATTTAAATTAATCAGTAAGCATCCAGCAGCTAGAAATCTAAGGGGAGGGGAGAATCTTTCTCCTTGAAAAGGGAAAATATACTCCCCTCTCATTGGGAACACACACACACATACACACACACACACTCACACACACGTACACACACACAGAGTTATGGAGAAATAGGAATATGGTGTGGCCAAAATCTTTTCTCTCTTGTGGTTTCTGTCAAGCTGTGAGAGAGAAGAAGTTTAATTCTCTGAAAGATGAGCTGTACCCCAGGAGAATGATTTCAGATTTTAAAGGAAGGAGAGACCGAGGTGGATTATATTCACCATTGTGAGGAAAGCTTTTTGGACCTCAGCTCCAAGAGCACAGGGCGCCGCGTTCAAGGTTCCATATCAAATGAGGTGAGCGCAGAGCTGCGGAAGTAGGGAAGAGAGAGAATGGACCAGGCTTTGGGGAATTGGGTTTCCAAAACTATTGCCAGGCCCTTTCTGGGAAGGGGGAATGATGGCAGCTAAGACCAATTCTAACGCAGTTGTTTTGTTTTCTCTCTTTAGTTAAGGCAGATGGAAACCAGAAGCACTGAGAAACTGTGGGAGCTTGACACTGGAGAAAGTTGTTTGGGGCCTGAGATGTTGGAATAAGTTCCATACAAGCCAAAAAAGATTCAAGACAAATTAGAAAGCTGTTTATTTTGAACTAAGCCATAATTGGTGGAGATTTGCTGAGACATCCAATTTACCTATTTGCATTGCTATATATTATTTAACCCTAGTACTCCTTAATATCAATGCTTAATTGTTAATATTAATTACTCCTGTTTTTATTTTAAATGTATAAGTTAGTTGGAAAGCATGTGGTAGCCTCTTTGGCTTTGGTTATTTGATATTTATGGAAAATTTTTCATATGAGTCATGAGGGCATTGCACAGTGGGTAAAACATTGAACAGTGTGCCAGAGACCTGCATTCTAACCCCACCACTGCCCCTTACGAGAAAGGTCACTTGGGACAAATCCTTTACCTCTTTGAGCCTCAGTTTCTCATGTGTAAACCTGGGATAAGAAAAATGTCTACCTTGCTTGGGTCACAAGGTTATTGTGATAGTCGAGTGAAATAAAGTCAAATCAATTTAGAAGTGCCCAGGAAATTAGAATTACTATAAAAATTCAGTTTTGTATTTTGAAAAAATACTTTTTTTTTGGTGAGGAAGATTAGCCCTGAGCTGACATCTGTGGCCAATCTCCCTCTATTTTGTATGTGGGATGCTGCCACAACATGGCTTCATGAGTGGTGTGTAGGTCCAAGCCCAGCATCCAAACTTGTGAACTCCGGGCCACCGAAGCAGAGCACAAAAACTCAACCACTATGCCCCCAGGCCAGCAGCAAAAAAATGCATTTAAAAAAATGGATTCACAGCTCTGCCACTATCTCTGTGATCTTGGAGAAGTTGCTATAGTTCCAGGGACCTCAGTTCCTTCGTCTTTTAAATAAAAAGAGAAGACATGTCAGCCATTCAGTGAACTATGGCCATGAGACAGGAGCAAGGCTAGCTGTGAGGTTTACACTGTCCTCTGTTCACCCCGTGGCTTGGGGCTATCCTGGTGGAAGACACAGATCCCTCGGTTCATCAGAGTCACTCCACCTTTATCTGATTTAATTAGTCTTCTGAGTAAACTTTTCTTTATCGAAAGGATTCTGCAGCTAAACAGAAAAATATTTGGAAACCATTAGATTAGATCATTTATAATTTCCCTTCAAAAGTCCACACTTGTACCTCTATTATCATTTTTGCTGTTGTCGTTATTGTCAACATTACAGAAGAGATACCACCCCCACTGGTGGCAGCAGTTAAAGGGCAGACACAGGACTCAAGAGAAGATGTCAGCTCTTGGAAAACTGGCTAGCTTTGCAAATCTAAGTGAATGCAGGGGTGGAAAACCCCCCAAGTCTTTACTGAAGTCAGGCCAGCTGAGTAGCAAAGGTGGGCCGCCACTGGAGTAAGAAGGTGAGTATGAATCAGCGTGCGCTGATCACCTGGAGTCTGTTGATGACATCATCACGTTGAAGGAATCAATGTTTCCTCTGGGTGCATCCTTCCCGAGGTGCTACCTACCAACACTCTCTAAGGCTCTCTTGACTCTGTAGGATGTCAAGTTTCCAATGCTACACTTTGTAAACTAACAAGACATCTTCTAATCTTTTTAAAAGATATTGACTTTACTTATGTTTGTAAATTTTATAAAATTGAGAAAAGCTTAGCGTGGATAAAAGACTCCACAAGTAAATGGCGAGTCTGTAGGTAGAGCCTGGTGGTAGGAGGAAGAGGAAAACTGACAAGAGGAATATTTATAGTAGGTCTTATGTAATAGTGTGTAATTAATCTCCCACAACATTCTTACCTACAAAGCTGGGCTGAGTTAATGGCCTCAAGTCTCCAGGGTCAGACAAAAGAAAAGCTTGCTCTGTGTATGTATCTATCGATCAATCAATCAATCAATCCATAGTTAGATAGGTATAACTTGGTTAAAATAGCGGCAAATAGGAGTTGAAATCTCTCTCTACATATATATATAAGGAGAGGGTAAAACAATATAAGTTTAAAGAGTAAACTTGAGCATGTTATTATTAATTTTAGCCATATATCCTCAAACTATCAATTCTATTTCAGGTAGCGTTAACCCTTGCAGGTCAATTACAGATTAGTTAACATACTAACGTGGAATTTACTAATAGGGCACTTCAGTGAACTAAATGACTTGCTACTGATTTAAAAGATTCTTCAGAGTTTTCCAAAATCCTCCAAGAAATTTCCAACTTTTTCTCTTTAGAAGGAGTTTACCCACGCGTGACGTACCTAGTGATTTTTCCTGTAGATTGCACTTCTCCATCATATTTACTGCTTCAGCTCCTCCAATTCCAGTTTCCTCAGGCTGTTGTAGACAAAAGTGACGAGCTTGATGCTGATGTTATTGGGAAATGATTTTGATATTGTATTAATCTGAACAATGTGCATAAAAATATAGAAATTTAAAATATATTTGAAATTTTCTTTAACATTTCTCAATATCATATAACCTGTTTGTATTAATTGAAAATCTTTTCTACAGTTTTAATATACAAAAGGATGTTAAATACTTGGATGAAAATCATGGCAAAGCAGTTAAGAGTAGAAGTTTTCTTGTTTATTAATATCATGTTCTTATCTCTTTCCTCCAGTCCAACACAGCCTATAAGGTTGACATGGTTGTTACTTTAAATTGCTTCTTAGTGGCTCTTGCTCTAAGACTTGCAATATCTATTAAAAATCTTAATGAGGGGGGATTACAAACCTTCTTGGCAAAGATAAACAACATAAATGTTCGATTAAAATGGATAAACTGAAATGGGATTTAAAGCTGGGATAACAGAGCCAGCAGGACAGAAATTTATTTCATCTTGAGGACAAACTTCTACCATATCAATATGGAAGTCTGGCCCTAACTCTTAAAGAAAGTGGGCCAATTTTACTACATGGAGGAGGTTATTGGCATAGCTATTCTTTTAAGAAAACGTGTCCTATGTGCTTTGAGCAGGGATGTTGCATGTTAAAAATTTGCTGTTTCCTAAGTTGCCAAGGTTTTGAGATTTAATGCACTATTTTATTTCTGGTACTTGGAGAGCATATAAAGGAAGATAATTAATGTTTAATCAGTTTTTATTTTCCTGTTGATTTTAAGAAATTATTTTGAGCTACATAGCATGAAAAACAGGGTAGACACAAGGAAAGATCTCCTGAATGGAGCCAAAGTTTGGCTTAACATGGTTGTGTGTAAACACATATACATATATGAATAATTTAATAAATATAATCATATTTTACATGCTGTGTTATAATCTGCTTTTTATCATTATTTTATGGAATCTTCATGTACCAGTAAACAGAGTACTACCTCATAGTTGCCTGTTACACGGTAGGTACTCAATGAATACTTTTTAAATGAATTTTTTATTGGCTATGAAAGGCAGAGTACATATTTAGTGGGCTGCATGATTTAGGCATCATTATACCTTAAAATAAAGACTAGGAGGTGGGTGGAACATGTGACTTCCAATATTCTAGAAAGCAGGTTTCTAAAAACTGGTATATATACATATATCTCATAAGAGCCTTCTAAATCTTTGAAGCATCTGCCAGCATTCTTTCATACTGATGACTGTTTAGAATATATTTTCTTCCGCGAATCTTGTGGTTAGGTAGTTGGAGGGGCATCTGAAGACCCAAGATAGCTTCCTAGTGGTATTTGCGGCAATTAGTCAATCAGTCAATCAAGTTGCAGAGGCAGGACTGGGGCTCGCTTTGATCTGTTTATGGTAATCAATGTTACCCATTCTTTGGGGCTTAGCTCAAGTCATTTATGGATCCCATTGATCCTATTTCTTCTTCCAGGACTTCAGTCCAACAATTTTTGCTCACATACTACTCTCTATGACTTCATTATTTGTCTCCTGCTTCATCAACCTCACACAGCTGTGCGTCAACCACACAAATCTACATAAGGTCTTCTAAAACACAGTGTTTTCTCTAAGCATTTTTTTTTCTTTCTCTTGAATGACTTTCCTAACTCCCCTCTCTTTTTGGTGAACTCTCAAACACGTTTCAAAGGTTGGCTCGAATATCATCTCATCTTGAAAGTCTTCTTGGGACCTCCCTGGGTAAAATTAATCATTCCCTTCTCAGTGCTTCCATATCACTGGGATATGTCTCTTTCTTAAAAAGTTTTTTAAGATGTATCATAGTTCTGTGATTATTATTTGTCCCTGTTTGTCTCTCTAGGTGGAATTCATCTCTCTATCCAAAGAACCGAGCACAGTTCCTGACAAATAGGGGATACTTAATATAACAAGTATATGGCTGGGCCTCCATGGAGAACCTCTGCTCTTGGGCTGGCATCAGCTCTTAATTCTTGAAGTCTTCAGAAAACAAATCTAACTTCAGGAAGCATTAGCAGTAATATAAATTTTATTAAAGATGTTCAGGGAGTAAGCGGACTAGGGCTTTATATCAAACACCAAATCACTAACAACTTGCTTAAAAATCTTCAGCTTTTTTCTTCTTATTTCTTTCTGTCAAACTTCTCTGCTGCAGGCTCCAGGCAGAGAGGACACATCAGAATCTTCAGGTAGGTATATAATGGTGTTGGTGTTGATGACTGGTGGATATAAGTTGTATATCAAATGGGCACAGATTTTAAAAACTTAAGACTGTTTATAAATGGTCACTTGATAATTATGCATGAACATTCAAGGCCCTCCATGACCTGGCCCCCAACTCTCCAGCCCCATCCTTTGTGGTTCCCTTCCTTGCCTATTCTGCTTGTGGTTTGTAGGGCATAAAGGATGTTCCATGACACTGTTTCTTCACTCATGCTCTTTCCTTTTTGGGTAGTGCAGTGCCTCCCATCTTGGCCTGAATAATCTCAGCCCATCTTCAAGTTCTTTAAGAATCTTATCTAAAAATTTCAAGTGCTCCTTCTCTGTGCACTTATGTATAAGGGAGCATGAGTGGGAGAAACTGCTCCACAGAAAAAGAGAAAAGCATGAGCAAAACATCATCATGACAATGAGCATGTTTTGTTACAAACTAGAAAGAGAACATGGAGGTAAGGGAGGTGCCGATATTGACATACCCTGCTTCACAGTCCCGCTGGTCTGCGCTCTTCTCAAAGGTGGACATACCTTATGTATGGTATATAATAACTGCTTAGTAAATGTGTGTTGAAATGAACTGCTATCCATCCCAAGTAGCATGTAAACTTTTTCAAGGATCACAGCTTCCGTAACTCTCAACTCTTAGCACTTACTGTACTAGCTACAGC